AAACATGTCAGGAGGATCCAAGATCTTGCTTTTTAAGTTATCAAACTCGGAATATTCACGATTTTACTTGATGTTTATAAAGATTTGAAAGAATATTTGAAGTCAAAACAAAACCTCCCAATGTGATTTACGAAGAGCATGAGAATCCGAGGCCATGTGCGTTGCCATTATCACCTAAAGTTTTGAGTAACACAAAGCCTTCAACTTTATCAACTCTGTCTGCTGCAAATATATTATTTTCTTTTCGGTTACAGCAATGGCAGTTGGACAAACACAGAGATTTGCTAGTTAAGGTTGAATATCTGTCCTTTGTCCGTCTTTCGAGTAGGGAAATTTTCATTGGAAAGATTGTTTAATTTTCTTAGAACGTGCGAAATAATAATAAAATTGATTATGTGTATCATATTTATATTATTTCCATATGAAAGTATGGTACTAAAAATATATTATACTAGAAAAAACAAAATAAATACAATACAAATGCATTCATATATCAAATTATAGTATAAAATATAGCAAACGATTCATTGATGGACGGGTCGTTATCTTAGAAACAAGCACTAAACAGTGGATTGTTATCATCTCAGACCACTCTAAAAGCAAGTGAATTACTAAAAGTTTACCTTTTTTTCTTTCTTTTTTGCAAAACCCAAAAAAGAAGTGTGGTCAAAGTTTGGGTTTTTATTTATAGTATTACGAAAAGTTTGGATTTTTATTTAAAATCAGAATATACATAAGATAAGAGGGTAAGAAATTTAGTTAAGGAGTGGGAACATTCTGAGATTCGGCTGTCAAAAGATGGGGATCAGGCGAGGCGATCAGCCAACTTTGTTGATGTGATATCTGGTTGGTAGTTTTTATGCTATATGGGACTTTTTTATTATTATTATTTGATTTGGTGTTTCTTTGATGTCCCTTGCTTAAAAGATACGACACACACACATATAAGGTAGCTGTTTTATGCACTAAACGTTTTAAGGCTCCTTTTTCTAGTGAACCCACCAGGTATGCTCAATTCTAATGCTTTTGAGTCGACCACTTTGTTTCATGGTGAGGTGGATTTCTTAGTGTTTTGACTGCTTCTCTTCTGTTGTTCTCTGCCATTCACAATGAAACATACGATGATCTTGTTGATGTGATGCCACTGCTTGTGTCATTAGATTTCATTGTTTTAGTCCAAAAACGATGTGTTCTATTGAGCCGAGTATTGATTATTTGGTTCAGTTGTTTGTTAGTGCTTTGTTTAGGTGATAAGAACATGGGCATGTTCCTGGATTGATATTTGTGTCACATTTCTGGATTAAATTTACCAGTTTTCTCATCTCTATTACTTCGGAACAATCTCATTGGAATTGATGATTACTTGAGTAAACCCTTTATGTTGGTTTCTTCAACTCATACTACTCTCTTCCTTTTCTTGCAATTTTTTTACCTTAAAAAATGAACTGAAGATTCATTCTGGGTTTTGGGGTTTAGAGATTTTTGTGGACCTCAAAAGTTATTGGTAATGTTGTAGGTGAGAATACCAGTTACCCCTTAATTCTCCCCTTTATGGTGGCCTTATTTTGTTTGATCATACTAAGAAATATACATGATTTTCCTTTGATCCATCCCTTCCTAGTGTTTAAACTGAAATATATTTGACATTGAGGAACTCAGTTAGTATTTTGGTACTGATTTTTGCCTTGGAATGTTTATAGATTTAACAGCAGGCGAACTTTTCGAGTACTAAAAAGAATACAAAAGGCTTCAAATCTTTCGTTATCAAGATGAAGTTCATGAAACTGGGATCTAAGCCTGATTCATTTCAGACTGATGGAGACAACGTTAGGTGAGTTTAATACACTCATTTATGAAAACTAGTTGTTTTTATCTGATAGTGCTTTCAAGGTAAGTGTTATTCGAGTCTGATCAAACATGTTTCTTAAACTTGAATTTAAACCACGGATATTTTGTTGATATAACTGGACAAACATTTGTAATAACAGGTATGTTGCAACTGAGTTGGAAACCGACATGATCGTTAACATCGGGGACGTGAAATTCTATATGCATAAGGTAGGAACTATGAACCCACCGTCAATCTATGATCATACAAAGGGCATGTGATTTGATTGTCATGGGAGATATAAATGGTTATATGCTAAATTTTCATCTTTTTGTGTCTGTTAATGGTCGAAACATCATGGTTGCTGACATCAATAACGAACAATGTTTCTGCAGTTTCCCTTGTTATCCAAATGCGCACACTTGCAGAAGCTGGTGGCAACATCAAAAGATGAGAACAGGGGAGAAATTCACATTCAGGATATACCTGGTGGACCTGCTGCTTTCGAAATATGTGCCAAGTTTTGCTATGGTATGACAGTCACTCTCAATGCATACAGTGTCGTTGCAGCTCGATGTGCGGCTGAGTACCTTGAGATGTACGAAACCATTGAGAAAGGAAATCTTATCTATAAGATCGATGTCTTCCTGAATTCAAGTATATTCGGGAGCTGGAAAGATTCTATCATTGTTCTTCAAACCACAAAATCTCTACATCCATGGTGCGAGAAACTAAAGGTGGTTAGCCATTGCCTTGATTCCATAGCTTCCAAGGCTTCAATAGATGCTTCCAAGGTGGATTGGTCTTACACTTATAATAGGAAAAAGCTCCCATCGAATAAAGGAAATAGTTCACAATGGAACGGTGTAAGGAAACCGCAAACGGTCCCAAAGGACTGGTGGGTAGAAGATCTCTGTGAGCTTCATATTGATTTATACAAGCGTGTGATAGCAACAATTAAAGCAAAAGGCCGAGTTCCAGGTGATATAATCGGAGAATCCTTAAACGCATACACGTCGAGAAGATTTCCATGTCTTAACAAGGGTATGATCTGGAATAATGATTTCGTGAAGTTTAAGTCATTGGTTGAAACCATTGTGCAGCTGCTGCCCGCTGAAAAAGGCACTGTTTCTTGTAGCTTCTTGCTTATATTATTAAGGGTAGTCATTCTATTGGATTGTGAAGAAACGGAGAGAAATGAGTTGACAAGGAGAATCAGTCAGCAGCTTCCCGAGGCCACGGTGACTGATCTTCTAATTCGAGCTCCGGCTGGAGAAGCTACAATATATGATGTTGACATAGTTCATAACTTAGTTAAGGAGTTTGCAACTCACAGTTCTCGAATTGACCACATTGAAAATGAGTTCGAGGAGAGTCAAAACCCCAAGTTTGGACCAGATGGTTCTAAAGTTTTGGTAGCAAAGCTAATCGAGGGTTACCTAGCTGAAATCGCACGAGATCCGAATTTATCTCCTTCAAAATTCGTCAATCTTGCTGCTAGTATAGCAAGCTTTTCAAGACCTTCACATGATGGACTTTACCACGCCATTGACATGTATCTGAAGGTAATTTCAAACCTTTTCTTCTCTGGTTTTTAACGTTGGTAATTCAATCATCTTTCTGTTCCATAATTCATGTTTATCGATTTCAATTATTTCAACATCAAAATGCAGTTTGAACTTATGTGTTTCTATAAGAACTACACTATAATTGCAGGCTAACCATTTCTTCTAAATACAGGAAAACCGTGCAATCAGCAAGAGAGAGAAAGAGAATATGCAGGTTGATGGACTGCAGGAAGCTATCGCCTGAAGCGTGCACGCACGCTATGCAAAACAAGAGGCTCCCATTGCGTGTTGTTTTGCAGGTCCTCTTCTTTGAGCAAGTAAGAGCTACATCATATGCTGGCAATAGCACAACTGAACTTCCAGGCTCCATTAGAGCCCTTCACCCTGGAGAATCCCATATCAGCTCGAGGTCAACAACAACCAACACCGAAGAGGATTGGGATTCTGTTCCAACAGCTGAAGACTTCAAGGCTTTGAGAGGGGAGCTTGCTACTCTAAGATTAGGCAATGATAGAAGCCAAAACGATGCCGTCAAAAGTGCTGCTGCATGAAAGGATTGGTCATGTCGAAGATCTTTTCGAAACTTTTATCAGGTAAGGAATACGGTGAAACTAGCAGCTCGGATACATCGGAGAGCCCTGGCTCAATCAACGCTGAGGAAACAACTTCCAGCCCTTCGACAAGTAGAAGGCATGCACTAACCAGAACTGGAACATGCGTTAGCTGACTCTAAAATTGTGACAAAATGACAGTAGGACATTGGAACGGACATTTCTAGGTGGTTCAGTTCACCTCATTGGTTTTTTATTTCTAGTAAACAGAAGAAGGCGACGCATATCGAATAGCCCGGTGATTGAGTTGTAACAAAAATTCCATTCACTGTCACATTACAGTATAAGCAGGGATAATCATTTTAAGCATTGAAACGTTAGGATCATTACAGTATAAGCAGGGACTGAGCTTCAATGTCACGTTCAGGATTGGGTGTTTAGTCTCCTTGTGTGACAATGAACGTGAGGAAATAAATAAATAAATAAAAGGGATTAACGCAAGAAAATCGGTTACATTGGTAATCTCCCATTCTCTTAAATTCATTCATGCACTTGTTATTCTTCAAGGATATGAAGTTGGTTGGTTGGTTTCCGGGTACAATGGGTGAGTGACAACACATCAATGTGGTATTTGTTAATTCCATTTTCACGGTCTAACAGGATTTTCACTACATCGATTCCGTCATATATTTACAACATACAAAATAATAATCCATATCAATATAGTACACACATACTAATAAATCAAAATTTATGACACAATAAAAATAGCAGATCTTACCTACCAACAACTCAATTTCTTTCATTATCTAATTTCTACATAGACCTTTTCTTTCAATTTCCCAATTTCCTTTGAGAGAAGAAAATGACCCAACAACTCTAGGTTGAAGCTGATCTTACCCACTAAAGAAGCCCATGAAAGCCTAGTGAAAAGATGAAATCATTGTAATGTATTATATGATTGAAGCGCGCGCACACAAAAAAAAAGGTCAGATCAAGGAAATTTTTCTCATATCTGAACAGTAACATTATCTACAATAATAGTATCAAATATGGAAGGTCAGAAACAAACTGAAATTTCCCTTTCAGCCAAACATACAAAGAGTTGGTTCTCAATCAAAGCACATATAAATAATCAAATATTCGATCCCGCTACAAAGACAGGGTTTAGGAACCAGCCAAACCACAAAAAGAAGATTTGTCAATTGCTTTAATATCATTAAGATGAAACTGGCAGTTGCTACGTTCGAGTTCTGCTGCTTTCCGCATTCCTAATTGGGTGAAAATAAGGATGAGCCTGCATACCAATTACAACAAGTATCCAATTAGGTAAACCTTTTTAGCGAGTTTAGTAGCACATTAAAAGATTACAACGTTATGAGGTCTCATTTGATGATGAGCAAACAAAAAACAGCTAGACAAAATCTGAAAGTTGCGTCTAACAAATCAAAGGTAATTCCTTAAATAGGTTCATAAAGATAAGAAGTTCACCATTGCTTCTTTAGCAGTTGGCCTTTCTTGATGATCGTATCGAAGCAGCTTATCAACAAAGTCAATGGCCTTCCAAGAAATACATGACATTAGAGGTGGAATGCAGGGAAAAGTCTAAGAATTGTAGAAAGAAATCACTAGTTCTACTACCTCGGGCAAGGCTAGATGTTGATTTTCAGCATTAATAAACTTTGTCCAAGGTTTACGACTATGCCTGTATCAAGAAAAAAGAAGAAAAGCTCTCATCAACCAGAAATATAGCACTTCTCTATCATCAATATGATAATCAGATTATATTACCAACCTCCCAACAAGGGCCGCCAGATGCAGATCCAATTCTATGCGGTACTTATTCAGATAAGCGTTTAATCCATCTGTTCCAAGAACCTATAGCAGCAAATACAAGTATTAAAGGAACATATTGTTTTTATATCCGTGATAAATTCAATTTTAACAATGACTGAAAGGACTCTCCCACTCTCCATCGATCTCCATTATGTGTATAAAAGCATCTTATTTCATTAAAAACAGTACCAATATTACAATAAGAGGAAGGTAACAACCATACAGGCCTCAACAACAAAATAGAATATTATAAGATGAAGATGTAAACAACAGCATGCAATTCTATGAGTTCACTCGTACTTAAACATCAACAAATCACATACCTTAGCTATCTTGACCAGTTGATCATAATTATCATGCCCGTAGAAGAATGGCTCCTTCCTAAATACCTGTACAGCACAACCCTTAAAAGTAAGCATCTCAAAAGAGAGAGCATGAAATTCCTGAGGGTTATATCAACTTTCAATTCTCATCTGCTATCTGCCACCCACGGGTGAATATGCAAGCAGATCAAGAAGCACTCATCTAATGGCAAAACTCTGCCCCATATGTAGGACACTAATATTTGAAAATATTCAAAGGGTCCTGAGACAAATAAAGTCCATTTGCCTGATTCCTATTAACATTGAACGATAAATTGGTAATATAGCAGATGGCATTTGAGCCAAGACTTCAAGATGATCAGCCTTCCCGAAAGAAATTTACAAGTCTACTTCCCGAAAGAATTTGATATATGAAGTTCGAAGGGTAAGTAAACTATAAAAACCTAACTCTGCAAGTGATCTAGGCCTAAATGGGTAGACTAATACCAAGGCTAGTAACTCACCATTCCAGCAAACATACAGCCAAGGCTCCACAAGTCTAAAGAGTAATCATAGTCTTGCAAATCAACAAGAAGCTCAGGACCTTTAAAATATCTGCAAACCAGAAATGAAATGATAAAAAGATAAAGATATTACTGTATATTGAATAGGATTTTTCACTTTATTCATCATTTTCAATCAAATAGATGATAGTACTGCATATAGTAACCTAAAAGAGTACCCTTAGGGTACTTGTTAACAAAATCCTATAAAATAATACCCTTGAACTAACTTGTCAGAATTATAACAAGTCTTTCCCTACATAAATAATGCACTCTACTGCTCCTAAGAGGATATCACCCCCATCTCCAATCTCCCCTCCACCTGTACTTGCATTTTGCATGCATATTGAATATTTCCTTGTCTTTTGTCTTCTAACTTACTGTAATTTTAGAATTTTCAGAGTTACATTGAATTAGAAAAAACATGGAATTATTTTTTCCCCTCAAACCAACAGCAAAATGCATATTTCATGAGTGCTTCTAGTCAGCCACTGCGATTATTCTTGGCCTCCTACATATTTATTGTAGCCTTAGGTTTCTGAATTGTATTGAATGAATCTTAACTAGGAATCAACAAGTCAATCCTTTTATCATCTAAGTCAACTGTGGGAGCAAAAGTTGAATAAATAACACTGGTAACGCCCCAGCTACTGTAATTTATATAAATCAACTTCAATTGCCATCTCCAAAATCCAGTTAAAAATGTTACGATAAATAAGCATATACTTTTGATTATGCAATATATAAGATAAGTAATTTGGTGCAACCAGAAGGATGTAAAATAAAACCGACCATAAGAAGGATAAAAACAAGAAACAACAATTGAGAACTTTAAAGGCAAAATGCAAAAAAGGGAAACAGACCTTGAAGCAACACGAACATTGTATTCTTTTCCCGGATGATAGAATTCTGCAAGTCCCCAGTCAATAAGACGAAGTTTACGCTGCTCATGATCAATCATCACATTATGTGGCTTCACATCTCGATGCATAATACCTTGCGAGTGGCAATAATCCAATGCCTAAAAAAAGACTCAATACTTAATGATTGAAACGTCTATCCTCATTGTCAAGATAAGAGAATAAAAAAAAAGAACAAAATTCACATCATAAGAAAAGACATCCTACAAACAATATCGAAGCGTTTCTTCAAAGCCGATCTAATGATTACCCCAAATCAATAGTATAACTTTTGATAAAGCTGATAATTCAGCTCCAAAAGCGTGTATCATACAAGGTAAGAATGAGGTTGCCTCTATTTCCACAACATTAGAGCACTGTCTTGCTTTTTCATGTATACAACAAAAACAACATTTGATGACCCAGAAAAGAAAACCAATATGTAGCTTAAAGTCTAAACAAAAGAAACAATCATTTTTTTTCTTTGAATGAGAAGATTGATTCCAGAAAGAAAATCATTTCTCAGCCTCCACCATGACCACTAACCTAATTACCTAGGTTTAAACTTATTCTCTCACTGCAAGAAGAGCTTCAAGACAAATGAAAACATGCTTTCAACTTTTAAGCCTACAAATAGGCATCTCATTTCAATTTTAATTTCAATGTCAATGCACATGTGAATAAATAAATCAAGAAGTAAATGATTACTTGCCTTCAGAAGTTCATAGATATAATACCGCATATCATAATCAGTCAGTGTTGGATAAAGCACTTTAAAATCAGTATTATTCACATATTCAAATATAAGACTCGGAGTCTTCGATTGAGGATCCCTAACTATATCCAGCAACTTCACAATATTTGGCCCTCCACAAAGATTCTGCAGTATTTTGATCTCCCTTTTAATCTGCATTCCAGACAGTCATTTTATGAAAACAAGTTACACAAACACAAAACTAAAATCAATGGAAGTACTTAGTACAATGCCACAGAGAACGAACCTTCTTCTTCTTAACCGGTTTGAGAATCTTGATAATGCATTTCTCGTTATCGGTGCAGTGAACCCCCTCAAAAACCTCACTATATTTCCCTCTCCCAACCTTCCTCACCACCTCATAATCGTCCTGTTCACTGCTAAGCAGTACTCAAATCAATCAATTAACCAAAAGTTTACCAATTTTCAGCCAACGGAATCGGTTAAACCTAATTTTCCAGCCAATATAAGCTGAATTAGAATAAAAACCCTAGGATACTATTCAAAGGCGCCAAACCGCAGTAATTAACTACATTCAAAATTATTAAAACAAAACAAAATAAGAATACATATAAAACAGAGGATTAGAAAGAATAGGGAGAATAATACCCCCATTGGACAGTGAGGGTCTCGTAGTCCCAATAATCTTTAGGGCGAATAACGTTGACATCGGCGTAAACCCTAGACTTCGAAGGAGCGCCAGAGCGCCTAATGGCTTTTCCGATCTTCTGATCCAGGGTTTCGGCTTCTTTTAGCTCCTTTAACAAAACGCACTTTTTTTGTTGTTGTTGTTGAGAGACGGGAGAGGCGGAGGTGGTTTTGGAGGTGATTCCGCGGAGAAAGGAGAGGGGGACGGAGGATGAGAGGGGAGAAGGGGAAAATATGAAAGAGAGGTAGCGGCGATGGAGACGGTGGTGGTGAAGAGATAATGTCGCGAAATTGAAGGGCCTTATGGCCATTTACAGCTTGGCTTCTCTGACAAAAAGGAGAGGATAACTTTAGCCGCCGCCAATATTTTTTTTTTTCGAAAAGCAACAACGGCGTCGTTAATAGAACGGCACTGTTTACTCAATGGATAGTCGGATCGGCCATTTAAAGTCCAACCAATTACCTAATGGATTGAGGTTATAAATCAACCCAGCATTGTTTTTCTTAAACCAACCACACACTTGCCATTTGCGCGCTCTCTGTGCATTGGTTTCCAAGGCCATGGTGTTAAAAAATTTATAATATATTTGGAGAGTTATCATGTAATTGATATTTAATCTTATTATTAATGGAATTTGAAGTTTTTTTTTATGAAATAATATTAGTAAATACGATAATTTTGTGTATCGCAAAGATAAGAAAACTAGTGTGCGTGTGTATTTGGAGTCGGTGTACTTAAGATGTTTTATTTGATGGGTGGAGCACTTGGAATTAATTTGAGTGTTTGATTTCTTAGGAAGTAAAAATGATGTAGTTGTAGGGCATAATAACAGGGATTGAAGGGGTAATTCATAAAGTGACAAATTGCCACACCGATGGCTAAAGCCGCTACTGAAAAGAGACGACATAATTCAGCCACTCGTATGTGAGCTACTACTTGATTACCGAATCATGGATGTGAACATGAGCTTGGTGTCCAACCCTAATTTGCCTAACACATCGTATTTGAGTGCTGTCTGACGTTACCATTAGCTCAAGTGCTATGTTCTATGTTCCAATGTTCACCAAACACTATGGTGTTCTCATCGTATTTTAGATGAGAATTTTTCCCAATCTAATTCGAGTCCACTCTAGATTTTTCTATATTTTTTTTTAATTAATCTTATATTTTTCACCGACCAAATAAAATCACTTAACATTCAAACTTTATTCAAAAATTAACAATGTGATTTTTTCTAAATCAACATGCAACTTACTTGAACAATGATTTATACATGAATTAAAAAATTAAAAGAATAAAAACAGTATAAAGAGTTCATATTTGTTTCTCTTAATCTACACAATCTTTTGTCATAAAAAAACAACCCTAAGTCTAAACAAGGTTCCCATCTAATGATCATCTCGTTCTGGAACATGAGAGGTTTAAACAATCCTCTCAAACAAGGCAGAGTCCTTGGACGGGAAAATAAGAATAAGGTTGATATTCTTTGTTTGATGGAAACTAGAGTGGAAGTTGATAAATTTGCAGAATTACTAGCAACATATTTTGAAAATTGGAATGTTCTCACCAACTATGATTTTGCGAGGAATGAAAGAATTTGGTTTTTGTGGAGGAAGGGACTGGATTTATCCTCATGTTACACCACCGATCAGAGTATCACTGTCAAAGGTATATTCAATGATCAACCCTTTCTTATTACTGCGATTTATGGCAGTAATAATGGAACTATAAGAAGACAACTCTGACAAGACCTTCGGTATCTTAACTCAAATTTTAGTACTATCCCTTGGATCGTGGGAGGAGATTTTAATGTTATTTTGCACAATCAAGGAAGTTCTGATTTTGAGCATATGGGTATGATTTCTTCTTCTGATATGTTAGAGTTTCAAGAAGTCATTCAAGATCTACAGTTACAAGACCACCCTTTCTTTGGACCAACCTATTCTTGGAGTAACAAACAAAGTGACAATTACCTCGCTCGGAAGCTGGATAGAGTGCTCGTCAATCCTCTGTGGTTCAATTCATTCCCTCGCTCATTTGTGGAATTCTTGGCTCCAGGTCCGTCAGATCATTGTATGGCAATGGTGGATCTTAACAAAGAGGTTCATTTAAACGGAACCAAACCCTTCAAATTTTTCAACTGTTTGACTCTACACCTTGATTTTCTTAACATTGTTAGTCACTCTTGGAATAAGGTTGTCCACGGAAATCCAATGAAGTCTTTATTCCTAAAGCTTAAACGTCTCAAACTTAGTCTTAAATCTCTCAATAAAGATTGCTTTAGTGACATTTCAGCGCGTGTCAGACTTAAGAGGGAAGAACTTGAAATGCAACAAATACTTACCTTAAGAGGATCGGAGCCCATTGAGAAAGAAATAGAGCTGCAAAGACAGTTCAAATCTTTAGAAGAAGTCGAAAACATGATCTTAAAGAAAAAAAGCAAAACTTCATTGGCTAAAAGAGGGTGACAAATATACAAAGTTCTTTCACTCCGTCATCGCTACAAAGAACAAAAAACCAATGTTTTCAAAATCGGACCGGACATTGAACCGGTGAAGGTACTGGTTCACTGGTTCAACCGGGTTCAACCGCGGTTGAACCGGATTTTATATAAAATAATATATTTTTTTAATTTTACATAATATTTAAAGCAATATTAATATATATGTAACACTTTTTTTAAGTTTACAATATTAAAAGGTATAAAAATATCACAAGTCATAACATGTATAAATGAAAAACCATAAAATCAAGTGAAACAAAATGATTCAAATCAACTACAACATAATATTTAAGGTAAAACATATTAAATAATAAATATAATTATATAACTATAATCAAAAAATAAATTTGGGGCTGAAAAATATCATAACAAACGATGTCGTTTGATTTATTTATTTTTTTAAAATAATCCCACATGGCTAATAAACATAGAAGAGCATCCCAAAAGTCTAAAGAGTAAAAATATGATACCAAAACAATCACACATGGCTAAGAAACATAGAAGAGCATCCCAACTTACTTCTATAAATAATAGAGGTAATTTGACATTCAAAATCATGGAGCCTTTTGGTGAGCACAAAGCGAACTATTCTTTCGCTTCAATTGAGCTCAAATTTTAGGCTTCAATCGAACTTCTAATTTTTTTTTTGATTTCGAGCCTTTTCGATTTCAAGTTTTAATATTATATTTCGAGTTGATAATTTTTAGCTCGTGAGTTTTTGAGTCGAGTTGAGCTTACTTTTAAAGTTTTCGAGTTCGAGTCGAGCTCAGCAATACTCGAATTTGACTCGGCTCGTTGAACAAACGACGTTGTTTGGTTTAATATTTTTTTTAAAGAAAAAAGTGAGCCGGCGGTTCAAACCGGTTTTGCCGGTTTACCCCGGTTTTCCCAGTTTTCAGTCGGTTCTTTACCGGTTCTGTGCTAATCAGGTTTTGGGAGTTAACCGGACCGGACAGGCCACCGGTTCACAGTTCAACCGGTCGAACCGGCCGGTCCGGTCCGGTTTTAATAACATTGCAAAAAACATATCATAAGGGTCCTTCTCAACAAATAGGGGGAAAGACTTGAATCTTTTGACGATATGTCCACGGAAGTTATTAAATTCTTCAAAAATCTCTTAGGATCCCATGATCCTAATGTAAAAGTTTGTTCTCCTAAAATGCTTAAAGAGATGATGCATTATATTCCTTCCATGGAAGAATATGAAGCACTTGTTAAGGAAGCCAGTAGCGAAGAGATTAAAGATGTTTTATTCAGTCAGGGTAATAATAAGGCTCTAGGTCCTGACGGTTTCACTTCTTATTTCTTCAAGAAAGCATGCCCAGTGGTTGGTAAAGATGTTATTAAGGCTATTAAGTTTTTCTTTCAAGACTTATACATTTATCCAGCCTTTAATGCAACCACCATTGCTTTGATCCTTAAAATGTCAAACCCAAGCAAAGTTTCTGATTTCCGGCCCATATCATGTTGTTATGTTATCTACAAGACCATAACAAAGATTCTTTCCAATAGGATGACTAACTTGCTTCCAAATATTATTGCTCCCAATCAATCAGCTTTTGTTAAAGGGATGAGCATCTCGGACAACACCCTTCTTGCACAGGAAATTATGAAAGGTTATGGTAGGAAAAACATTTCCCCTAGATGTGCATTGAAAATTGATCTTCAAAAGGCTTTCGATTCCATTAATTGGGACTTTATTTATGCAATTCTTAAAGCTCTAGAGTTGCCACCCAAATTCATTGAATGGATTGTTTCCTGTTATTCCGATACAAGATTTTCCATCGACTTCAATGGTAGCTTGATTGGTTACTTCAAGGGAGCCAAAGGAATTAGGCAAGGTGATCTACTTTCCCCTATCTTATTTGTTCTGGTCAAGAATGTCCTTTCCAATATTCTCAACAATGCAGCTTCTAAAGGGATTTTTGCTTTCCATCCTAAATGTAAGAATATTGGACTTACTCACTTGTCATTTGCGGATGACTTATTAATTTTCTGCAAGGGTAATATTGAGTCTGTTATGGGTTTTATCACTTTCTTGGATTACTTCTATGAATTTTTTGGACTGAAGCTTAATGCAGGTAAATGTGAGATTTTCACAGCTAGAATTCATGCTCAAAGACTTGATTCTATTCTCACATCTTCTGGTTTCAAACATGATCATTTACATGTTAGATATCTCGGGGTACCACTTGTTACCAGAAAGTTATCCGATAAAGATTGTCATGCTCTCCTCGACAACATAAAGAACAAACTCCATCAATGGTCTAGGAAAAAATTAGCTACGCAGGCAGGGTTGAATTAATTAAAATTGTTCTCTATAGCGTAGCAAATTTCTGGTGTAGACAACTTGTACTGCCACAGTCCATAATCAAGAAAATTGAGCAATTGTGCTCAAGATTTTTATAGAAAGGCTCGGATATTCTTGGTATTGGAGCAAGGGTAAGTTGGGGTAACCTCTGTAAATTGAAATCAGAAGGAGGTCTAGGACTAAAAGATATCAAGTCCTGGAATAATGCATGTATGATTCATCTAACCAGAAAATTACTTGCGAGGGATGGCTCATTATGGGTGGCTTGGATTCATAGCTACATAATCAAGCAACACGACTACTAGACCATGGACGAATCATCGAGTTTTAGCTGGAGCTTCAGGAGATTACTGAAACTAAGAAGAATTGCTCGGCCAGTCCATGTTACTGATGCAAAAAACAAAAGAAATTTGGGAAGAAATTCGACCCAAAGATGCAAAAGTCTCATGGCAAAATCTGATCTGGTATCCCCTCCACATTCCGAAGCACAACATCATTTCCTGAATGATTATCTTGGATCGGCTGCCTACCAAAGACATATTATATCGATTTGGTCTTGTTAACAATGATACCTGCATTTTTTGCTCTGCAACAACTGAAACCATGAACCATCCCTTC